CCGTGGCCATCTCCTGTCCTGTGCAAACTGACTGACTGACTGACTGACTGTCGTGTATTGTAACTCAGAGGAACCATCAGAAGTGCGTTTTCCTTTTCCAGAACCGCACCCACCCAGGCTACTGAACGAAATAATACAATGTCGCAGCGCCGTGGTGTTCCCAAGCTTATTGGTGCAAGAAACTGGATTGCTTCTGGCTCCGCCACAAGTCCTGTGATCTGTCCTGTCCTGTCCTGTCCTCTAACCTGAACTGAACTGACCTGTCCTTGTATTCGGTCAAGACTGTTTGTCGCGCCATTTTCTAACGTTTTTTGAGGTTGTTGTTTTTAACAATATCCAGGATTATTGGGTTTCATTCACTCTTCGGCGGTTGATGTATGATGTGGAATGTCAGACAAAATACAGGAATTCCGAATTTGGCAAACAAAACGTGAGTGTGGATATTATTCGTTTTATTCGTATTTAGTTTACAACCTCCAACGTGAAGCCCCAAAGCCACACGTTGTCCCATGCTCAAGAACGCTGAGCGGACGACCTCCGCAGTATGGCATCGAGTACCACGGTTCGATTTCGCGACAGGAAACAGACAAATTGCTCGAGAATGCTCCGGATGGTGCTTATCTTATTCGTGACAGTCAACGAGCCGCTGGGGCATATACGTTAGTTATTTGGTGGGTCTTAATGTTTATTCTGTAATATATTGAAAGCAGGTTTGATAAAAATGTCAAAAATTTCATGCTGCATTATGATCCTGTTTCCAAGCAGCATTATGTTGGTGAAAGTCGTTTCGACACGATAGAGTTGTTGGTTGCGGATGGTCTCATACATTTCTACGTGGAGACGAGAGGAGCAGATGTTTTGCAGAAAATCGCGGATGCGAACACCTATCAGTCCACACCGTTTTACAAAGTAAGTTTTTATCGATTCTCCCAGGTTTTTCGCGAAGTAGCGTACGCTAGCGAACGTTCGCTTTTTACATGTAATCGATGGTAGATACGATCGAATGCTTTTGAGATGTCGAGCGAGACAATGTGGGGTTCTTCGTGGTTGTTAAGTTCAGCTGATCAATGTTGGGACTAAGACTAACAGATTGACGATGAACGACACGGTTGAAAACTGTAATGCCGATCATTCGGTATGCCTTCACTTTCGAGGTGTAGAAGAATTTGTTCGTCGATGATGGTTTTTGTAACTTTCGAAGTGACGGTCGATGCAGTGTGGTGGTAGTTGCTCAGATCAACTTGCCTGAGAACAGTTAAGCGGACCGCATTTTTTATGACTTAAGAGATATCATTCATTAAAGTGAAATAATAAACGTCGGAGTGCGGAAGCCAGTTCAGTGGTACTCATTTTCAAGACAATCGAGAAATCCCATTGCGTCAGGTA